AATATAGACTTCCTTTCTGCTTCCTCTTTTCGGAATTTTGTGCGACATGCACGTTTAACAAGTGTCCATGATTCAGTTTTGGCAAATTCAAAATGCCTTTTCTGGTTGAGTGAACGCCATTACCGTATCTGAAAAAATAAGAAAAAATCATTAGCATTACAAAAAACTTAATTAATTTAGCTTTAAAATGATACCAGTTTAATCTTCTTACCATTCATAGTTCAGCAGATATGAGAACTTGAAATGTTTCCAAGAATTCTAGAATTTCTATGACAAATGCATGAGTAATGCATTTTCTTGTAAATTCATTAGATTAGATTTAGTGACATTTGATTTTATTAACGGCCATTTCTTTATGATTGACTGTGAAATTTCTGAAGAAATGAAGAGAACTTTCAGGTTCAGAAACAAATTTTAGGTGGAAAAATTTAATTATATTATGAAAGTAAAGACAAAAGATAGATAAAGAGAAAAGAGAGAAGGAGTGAACGAGCAGAGAGAGAGAAAGAGAGAGAGAGAGAGAAAGACTAAAAGAGTAGAGCGATAGAAAAGAGGATGAAAAAGAAAAGGGGTGTTAGGAACCAAAAATTATGAGAGAAAATAGAAAAGATAGATAAAGATAAAAGAGAAAGAGGAGTGTACGAGAAGAGAGAGAGAGAGAGAGAGAGAGAGAGAGAGAGAGAGACGAGAGAGAAAGAAAGAGTAGAGAGAGAAAGAGTGAAAGAGCAGAGGGATAGAAAAGAGGGAGATAGATAGATAGATAGATAGATAGATAGAGACGAGAGAGAAAAGAAAGAGTAGAGAGAGAAAGAGTGAAAGAGCAGAGGGATAGAAAAGAGGGAGATAGATAGATAGATAGATAGAGACGAGAGAGAAAAGAAAGAGTAGAGAGAGAAAGAGTGAAAGAGTAGAGCGATAGAAAAGAGGAAGATAGACAGATAGATAGAGAGAGAAAGACGAGAGAGAGAAGAAAGAGTAGAGAGTGAGAAGAAAGAGTAGAGAGAGAAAGAGGAAGATAGAGATAGAGATAGATAGATACGAAAAGAAAAGAAATAGGGAGAAAGAGATAGATAGATAGAAAAGAGGGAGATAGATAGATAGATAGATAAGAGAGAGAAAAGAAAGAGTAGAGAGAGAAAGAGTGAAAGAGTAGAGCTATAGAAAAGAGGGACATAGATAGATAGATACGAGAGAGAAAAGAAAGGGTAGAGAGAGAAAGAGTGAAAGAGTAAAGCTATAGTAAAAAGGTAGAGAAAAATGAGGAGTGATAGGTATCAAAAATTAAAAAAATTAATCAAATTATGGGAGAGAAGAGGAAAGATAGATAAAGAGAAAAGAGAAAGAAAAGGAGTAAACAAGCAGATAGAGATGGAAAGAGAGAGATAGAGAGCAAAAGAAAGAGAAGGAGTGAACGAGTAGAGAGAGATGAGAGAGAGAAAGTGAAAGAGTGAAAGAGTAGAGAGGGAGAGAAGAGTGAGAATGAAAGCGTATAAAGAAAGAAAGAGTGAAAGAGTAGTGTGATAGAAAAGAGGGAGAGAAAGAAGAGCAGTAAATAAGTAAATAAGAGAGAGAGAGAGAGAGTTAAGAGAGAATGGTACAATGTGCTTTCTCAATGAGATCGACAGAGCGAGAAGTAAGAAGCAATAGAGATTGAGAATGAAAAAGAAAGAAAGAGACATATTGATATAATCTCTTTTGAAATGGGAGGGGACAAAAGCAGAAAGGAGAAGGAGAAAGAAAGAAAGAGGGACAAATTGGTAGAATATGTTTTATTATAGGTGGGACAGGAGAACGGAGAAGGTGGGAGACTAATTTTCGATCTCTTTTTAAAAGAGAGCTCAAGAGAGAGAGAGAGAGAGAGAGAGAGAGAGAGAGGGGAATAGAAGAAGAGAGGAAATGAAAAAGTGAGAGGGACAAATTGGTAGAACCTTTTTTTTTAAATACGAGAGAAAGGTGATAGAATAAAGAAGAAAAAGATGAATGAAAAAGAAGGATAGAAAAAAAGAGGAAATCTGGGAGAATCTGTTTATTAAATAGCTGTGGTTTGGTTTGATTTGGTTTGTCGTACGGCATATTTAATGACGAAATTTAATATTTTTCTAAATAAAATTTTGTATGCAAAAAGAAAAAAAATATTTTAAATATTATTACTGCTATTAGTTATGGTTAAAATTTTAAAATTATATTTTTGAAATCAGTTTAATTTCTCTTCGAATCTTGAATAAATAAAGTGGATCATTATTTTGAAAAAGCTTTTTTAAGTCTGTTGTTCAGTAGTATTTTAAGCGGACTGAATTAAAATTGCTGCAGTTTGTCAATATGTGTTTTATAGTCAATGGCTTTTGTTATGCCACACATACCGGATGATCTTCCTTTTTTTAGGATATACGAATGGGTTATGGTAGGATTCCCAATATGAACACCGGACATAATGACTTCTCTTTTAGTTGGCTGTTTCTGATGCCATTCTCCTATCAGTCAGTCAGTTATGTGCCATACGGGATAGCTTAGGCAATAATGTGTCGTTCGATACATGACAAACGAGGCAGATTTTTTCCCGCAGTAGGTTACCATTTCTTTCTGCGATAGACCATCCATGACTATAGAACCCGGTCTGTTCTACTATTTATCCATAGCGGTGGGGATAAGATGAGGATTCATCCCAAAGGTATTAGGACGTAATTGAATGCCAAGGATTCGACTGGAATTCAAACTCGACTCTCCGATTGCCCTATCCGAGAAGCTATCCATTACTCCACCATGCCTCCTGCATTCTCCTATAGTTGGTTTAATTTTGAACAATTCGTTGTTTGGGCAGGAGTTCAATTGGTTCTACCACTCCTCTATAATCATTTTACTATAAATAGGTACAGTTGGTCATTTTACTATATAAACATATATTGCTGGTATTTTTGCTATAAAATGTGATTTTATATATTCATAGTGTTTGTGGATTCATTGTTTGCCCTTAGCTGGCGCCATAACAGGTGCTACCACCCCGGGTCAGGGTGGATCTGGGGACAACAGCAATTAAGAAGTGGTTGCATGCTCCTCAAAATCTCCCGACCAGAAACCTTGCTGCCGGATGTAGTTCATCGTCATAATCAGGACTAAAATGACAGGGGAAAATAAAGAGAAGAACAGATAGAGTTTGAGAAAGAATAAGAATTAAAGAAAAGAATGGTTTTGGTTTGTTTTATGGCATATCAACCTTCTCCAGGTCATTTAATGGCGAATGCTGTCGTTTTGATAAATGATAGAGTGGCAGAGATAGGATTGTTTTTCACTAGAGGCAGAATGTTAGCGAAAAGATTGGTTGATCCGAGAATCCAAAAGGTTCGATGGACACAAGAGTCAAAAAGGGAGACATATGTGCAGTAAACAGGTAGCTTTGATTTTGGAAAGATTCCACCTCCTGCATGAGAAACCAACCGGGACATTGTTTTTATGTCAACCGATAGGGGGTGGAATAGATCGTTAGAATTTGTTTGAGAAGTGAAAGGAAAGAGAGAAGACAGATGAGAAAGACGGAAAGAGGGAAGATAGATAAGAGAGAAGGAAAGACAGAAGATAGATGAGAAAGAAAGAAAAGAGAGGAGATAGATAAGAGAGAAGGAAAGATGAGAAAGAAAAGAGAGAAGGAAGGAGAGAAGATAAATAAGAAAGAAGGAAAGAACGAAGGTAGATAAGAGAGAAGGAAAGAGAAAAGATAGATGAGAATGAACGAAAGAGCGAAGATAGATACGAGAGAAGGAGAGAGAGAGAAGAAAGATAAAAAAGAAGGAAAGAACGAAGGTAGATAAGAGAGAAGGAAAGACAGAAGATAGATGAGAAAGAAAGAAAAGAGACGAGATAGATAAGAGAGAAGGAAATATGAGAAAGAAAAGAGAGAAGGAAGGAGAGAAGATAAATAAGAAAGAAAGAAAGAACGAAGGTAGATAAGAGAGAAGGAGACAGAGAGAAAGATAAAAACTGAAGAAAAGAGAGAAGATAGATAAGAGAGAAGGAAGGGCAGACGATAGATGAGAAGGAAGGAAAGAACGAAGGTTGATAAGAGAGAAGGAAGGGCAGACGATAGATGAGAAGGAAGGAAAGAACGAAGGTTGATAAGAGAGAAGGAAGGGCAGAAGATAGATGAGAAAGAAAGAAAAGAGAGGAGATAGATAAGAGAGAAGGAAAGATGAGAAAGAAAAGAGAGAAGATAGATAAGAGAGAAGGAAAGAGAAAAGATAGATGAGAATGAACGAAAGAGCGAAGATAGATACGAGAGAAGGAGAGAGAGAAGACAGATAAAAAAGAAGGAAAGAGAGATGATATATAAGAGAGAAGGAAGGGCAGAAGATAAATAAGAAAGAAGGAAAGAAGGAAGGTAGATAAGAGAGAAGGAAAGGCAGACGATAGATGAGAAAGAAGGAAAGAACGAAGGTAGATAAAAGAGACTGAAAGAGAGAAGATAGATGAGAAAGAAGGAAAGAGAGGAGATAGATAAGAGAGAAGGAAAGACAGAAGATAGGTCAGAGAGGGAACAAAAGAGAAAAGTGAGATAAGTAAGAAAGAAGGAAAGATAGAATATAGATAAAAGAGGAGAGTGGTGAGACAGATAAGAAAGAAGAAAAGATAAAAGATACATGAGAGAAGGAAAGAGGGAAGATAGATAAGAGAGAATGAAGGACTTCAGAATATAGATGAGAAAGAGCGAAGATAGATGAGTGAGAGAGCAAGATTGGTTGATTTGTTTTTGACGGCTTATCAACCTTTGTCAGGTTATTTAAAGTACGAAAATATTTTTGTATTTTAATAATTTGGGGAAGATGATAATAACAATTTATTGATAAAAGTGCTATTAATTAATCCATAGCTGGGATGGCAGAATTGATGGGTTCATGCCTTTCCCAATGGTATATACGCATAACGAACCAGATAGAAATTGAAACTCGGCCCGTCGATTTCCAATTATGAGCCATTAAACAAGGCACCACCCACAGATCCAAGCTTAGAGAACCTGGTGTTCTCAAGCGGTCACCCATCTAGGTACGAACCAGGTCGATATTGCTTAACTTCGGTGATCGGACGAGAACTGGTGTTTCTCTCATTTTTTTTTCTACTCCTTGATTTTTCTTTTATTCCTTGTTCCTTACTTTTTCCCATTTTTTTTTCTATTCTCACTCTTTTTGTCACTATTTCTTGCTTCATTTAGCTCACGACCATATCACGTCAACTTCTATTATATGCATTATATATATATATATATATATATATATATATATATATATATATATATATATATATATATATATATATTCCCGGTATAATTTAATATTACCACGAAATATTACAGGAACGTAACACATTGAGAAAAGAATTTAGGTCGACCAGACCTAATTTTTTTCTCAATGTCTTATGTACCTGTAATATTAATCAGACAGTTTGAGAAGAACTATCATATGCCATGTAGACTGCATCACAAACGACACAGTGCGAGTTGCCATCAAACAAGAAACAGGCCCATTGTAAAACCTCATAAACAGTTTCAAGAAGAGGAACGTCATATGATATGGACAGGAAACTTGAGAAACTTGAAATCATATAGGAGCCAGCAATATTTCCACTGATATCCTACAACAGGGGTCGGCAACCTTTTGCTATGTGCCAACTTAGGGTTTTCAAATCATTCATTCTGCCAACGGAATACGTATTTTTTATACAAGTCAAGGTCAATATACCTTATTTACTTTATTCGGTCTATTGTCCTCATCTTTGTCGCCATATTTATTACAACGTTTCGGCCGTTGTACGCTCCGGCTTTCTTCAGGTGGTTAGAATGTCGAACTTAACCATTTATTTCGCTCACTGGGGTAGGCCGTTCTAGTTCCACGTGCCAGTTATCAGTTATCTCTTGTTAATTTCCCTCTGAATGCTCTCCATTGCCCTAACCGGGTATTGAACTCACACTCTTTGGGTCCTGTCACTTGATCTAACCAACGCCTTCATCCACTGTGCCATATGTCCGTGTTGTAATAAATATGGCGACAAAGATGAGGACAATAGTCCGAATAATGTAAATAAAGTACATAATACTTCATCTCAGAAATATAGTCAGTCAATATATCTGTTCTAAAATATATTTTATATAGTAATATATACAGTGTAACCCGGATATAAGAGACCCGGATATAAGAGAAACCCGGATATAAGAGAGATTTTCTCTGGTTCCAAATTAGAAACTGTGTTAATGTATATAAAATAGACCAAACCCAGATATAAGAGAAACCCGGATATAAGAGACTTCTTCTCCGGTCCTGACAACTCTCTTATATCCGGGTTACACTGTAGTATATATACTTTAGTATATAATAAAAGTGAAACAACTGAATATCTTCTTTGTGTTGTAGTAGTTATTGGTTCGGACTTCGTGATGTCATTCGCGGCTGCGTGCCATTGTGAAATTGCTTGGCGTGCTGACCTCTGAATTACAAGATTAAGGTTTTTATTGAATCCATTGAATCGCCATTTCTATGGCAAATGTTCAGATGAAATTCATTCTTTCAAACGTTTACATCTCGGTTTGATTGACTTTTTTGTGTGTTGCTGTTTTATCAGAAAGTGCATATTTATCAGAGTGAGTGACGCTTACATACTAAGGTACACTTTGTAGTCATGGGACAAATGTTTAACAAATACAAAATGAATGACGATCAAGTGCAAAACAAGTGTAAATGTTGTTGTTCGTTCAGGCTGGCATCCGAGCATCGGGGGTCTTCATCCACTCTCCCTATTCTTCCCCCCCCGGTGGCTGTTAATCAAAGAGAGAATTAATTTGATTTTGGTGGATAACTGCGCGACAGAGAAGCTCATACATTTGCCCAGAATCGCACCGCCTCATGGCTCAAACGTAGCTTGAGAGAGGCGAGATCTGGAAAACCTGGTTGCATAGGGCTGTCGGATGCTTGCTCTGTCAAAATCTTCATTGGTGGCATCAGCCCGACTGGTGCTGCCCTCTTCCGCCGGTTTGGCAGTTGAGATCATGTAGATCTTTAGGTATTCCGCCGTTGGGATCTTCGTCTTCAGTTGATCGCGTTCAGTCTGATCATTACCGCCACGGATGGTCTTAAAGCAGTTGGAACTCCAGATGGCTTTACTCTTGGAATAACTGTGAAAATATTGCTACATTACTCCAATCAATAAATAAAACAAGATAGCAGAATAAAACTAACGCCAAATGTTGCTAAAATGTTTCAATGATAGGGAAAGAAAATGATGATACTGAACCAATAGTCAATAATAAACAAAACAAATATTACAACAATAGTATACAGTTTGTTATCAAATGCAACACTTTGACATGTTATTACTTTAATGACAATAATAGAAACGAATCAATAAATAGGAAAAGAGTAAAACTAAGGAAAGTATAAAATTATCATTAAATATATTCGAACTTTTTATTTATTTTTGTTGTTGCTAAAAATAAATACTTGAGAGATAAATAATAAAGGAAGGAAAATGCCATTACGACTCGAAACACTTTTCGTACAAATTAGAAAACACATCCACGTCCATAAAAATAGTGTTACATCACTATAATCAATCAATAAAAAAAATAACAGAATAAAAATATTTCCAAATGTTGTTAAAATGTTTCAATGAAAAATGATAGGGTAAGAAATTGACGATACTGAACCAATGATAAACGGTAAATAAAACAAACATTGCAACAATTTCGAAATTACATCCTATTTCATAAAAAAAGGAGAAATGCTACGCTTAAATATAAGAATTATCCATGCCAGTTTATAAGTAATTTAACAAATACAATGCATTAAATGTTCCTAATATAACCATTCCTGACAATAACAGACATTCTTAATAAAGTAAATAAACTTTTTAACGCACATATTTTAGAAATAAAACAAAGAAACAAAAGCAATTGATGTATACATCGACTTAAAAAAGTGTATTTTAATTATTAAATATTGGAAATGCATAATATAAAATCATAATATAATAAACGAAGAAAAATATAAGAATAAAAAAGGATTATTAAAACTTCCTATTAAAATAGGGAAGTTTTAATAATCCTTTTTTATTCGCTTTCTTTGAGCAATGAAAAAATATGTCCTTGCACTCCGACATCAGAGTCTATCTATGAATACAAATATTCATATATATATTATAATTAATTCATCGAGTCCAGAAGAAACCTCAACAGAATGCAGAAAGCGCTGGACGACCGTTTTGTTCTATATTTGGGGCTCATCAACAGTCCACTACCGAGAATTGAAACCCGGACAGTTACGTTATCAGGCAAACGTCAGACCAAATGTCCCAACGGGCCTCGGTGACGAAGAGGTAACGAATTAGACTCGAGGCCCGAGTTACTTAATTATAATTATCTCAAATCCTCCTAATTTCTATCACGCACACACGCACACACACACACACACACACACACACACACACACACACACACACACATATATATATATATATATATATATATATATATATGCGATTAGTCTTCGGGGATTGGTCGCGTTCAATCTGGTCCTTCTTCTTAAACCTTACCGCCATTGGTTGCCCTACACGAGTTGGAACTCCAGACGGCTTCACTTAGGATCACTGGGACAAGTATGCCTTTGTCTGGCGAATCTTATATGTGTTGTTCTTGTCCTAAGTATTATCGTTCATTACCAACCTTCGTGTGATTATTCTATTCAGTAACCTTTATTAGGTTACAACACTCACTTATCATTTTTTTTCAGTTCTGGGTGTAACTGATTAAATCACTGTTAGAACGAAACTCATGAAAGCGAGTCGTGGTTCGATACAAGAATGCTTTGTTTGTAAGAATTTTTTTTAAAAATCTTTCTTACTTTAGCTTTTGGAAGGTATCTTTCTCTTTTCTAATACGCTTTCAAATTTCAGATTTTCCATCGTCGATAAAAAAACCCCCAAAAACTTCCCAAATAGTTAAATGTCTGTACTTGCTTGATTTTGATATCCCCAATTTGTAACTCGTATTCTGACTTGTCTGACTAAACAGATACAATTGACAATTCGGCAAACCCTATTATGAATAGACTTATGAAATCCTTTGACAAATCTGAGCAAGAACAGCCTGATGGTCGATTCGTTAAATGTCTATGTACGTGTGGTAGGTATATATAAGTGCATTTATGTCTCTCTATCCATCTCAGGTCTATAAATAATTTTGTTTTATATACAACCTGATGTACAACCAAGCATTTAAAAGGCATCACAGCGCGGTAGGACAATTATCTACCTATCTATCACTTCCAACTTCCATATTTTTGACAGCTCTTCCCCCCGAGAGCCCAACGTACAAGATGGCCGGCATGCAGTCGCCGGAACAAACATAAATATGTCTTCATTCTGCACTGAGGCCCTTTGCTTGTTTTTAATTGTTTATTACATGTAAGGAAAATGAAAGTTTAAGCTTGTAGAGTCACTCTTAAAATGGATATAGAGTTGAAATGGAGAAGAAGAAAAGAGAGAAAGAGGTTGTGTTAGAAAGCGGAAGGATTGACAACGAATGGGAAGTGAAAAGAAAGACGCGGGAAAAGAGTAATTAAATGAATACGTGGATAAATTATGGTTTGTTTGAAGAAGAGTAGAAGGGATATGAATGTGAGAGAACGAAAAATGACAAAGACTAATAGAGAGGAGAAACAAGCAAACGATCAAGAAAGAAAGACAGCACTAGAAAAAAAGAAAGAAAGAAAGATAGAAAGAAAGCAAAAAAGAAAGAAAGAAGGAAAAAAAGATAGAGAGAAAATAAGCTAAAAAGAAAGACAGAAAGAAAGAAACCAAAGAAGAATGAAAGAAAGGAAGGAAGGAAGGAAGGAAAAAAAAGAAAGAAAGCAAGAAAGAAAGGAAGATAGAAAGAAATCAAAAAAGAAAGAAAGAAAGAAAGATAAAAAGAAAGAAAGAAAGATAGAAAGAAAGCAAGCAAGCAAGAAAGAAAGCAAGCAAAAAGGAAAGATAGAAAGAAAGCAAAAAAGAAAGAAAGAAGGAAAGAAAGAAAGAAAGCAAGAAAGAAGGAAAGAAAGATAGAAAGAAAATAAGCT